AGTCCGTTGAAGGCGAGAGATGAGGAGGGGATTATTGTTTGTTTGTTTGTTGTGTGTGTGTGGGGGGTTTGTGTGTAGTTTCTGTGTGTGTGTGTGGTGATTGTTTGTTTTGTGTGCGGGGGTGATTGTGTGTGTGTGGGGGGGTATTGTGGTGGTGTGTTGTGTGTGTGTGTTTGTGTGTGTGTGTGTGTGTGTGTAGTTGATTGTGTGTGTGTTTTGTGTGTGAGTGAATGAGTGAGTGAGTGCGTGTGTGTGTATGTGTGTATGTGTTCTGTGTGTGTGTGTTTGCGTGTATGTATGTGTGTGTGAGTGAGTGAGTGAATGTGTGTGAACGTGTGCGTGTGCGTGTGTGTGCGTACGTGCGTCTGACTATCTGAATGTCTACATGCTTAGTAACAGAGACAGACAGACAGACAGAGAGATGTGTATATATATATCCATTTATCTGTTTATATAATGTTTTGCAAATGCTTATCTTCACGCAGACATTAAGCAGCATGCACATTAGCGCCATTACCGGAGTGCTGTGGCTCAAGCATAATCCTTATCTGAATTAGAATAGTTAAATGACTAACTCACCCTACCTTGACTATGTGCAGATATTCATTATTTCTTGATGTGGAGAGAAAGAGAGGAAAGAGGGGAGAGGGAAAGAGAGGGAGAGGAGAGGAAGAGGGAGGGGGAGAAGGGAAAGAGAGGGAGAGGAAGAGGGAAGGGAGAGGAAGAGGGGAGAGAGAAGTGGGAGGGAGAGGAGATAGAGAGAGGAGAGGGAGATAGAGAGGGGGTGGAGGAAGAGGAGGGGGGAAAGAGAGATGGAGAGGGTGGGCGGAAGGGATAGGAAGAGGAAAGTGAGAGGGAGGGAACGAGAAAGGAAGAATGAGAGGTAGAGTGAGAGGGAAAGCGAGGGAAAGAGAAAGAGAGTGGATGAGTTATAGAGAGAGGGAAAGAGAGAACGAAGGGAAAAGGAAAGCGAGAGCGAGAGGAAGAGGGCGAGGGAGTGGGAGAGGGAAAGAGAGAAACAAAAGGGAGAGGGAAAGAGAGAGCAAGAGGAAGAGGGAGAAGGAAATGGAAAGAGAAAAGGGAGAGTAGAAGAAAAGAAGAGAGAAGAGGTAGAGGAAAAGAGAGAGGGGGATGAGAAAGAGGATGAAGAAAGGAAGGGACATAGAGAGAGAGACAGTCAGCGAATGAGAAAAAAGAAAGAGAAAACACAATACACATGAACGTAATTAATCACATACTAGGGGATCTCATTACAGAATTCCCCTGACCAACTTCCGCTTATTATATGAAGCTCAAATTTCACACACATCAAGATACTCATATCTACAGGTCATGTTTTGATATCTAGTCCTTAACTCAAAAAACATTTTCTGTTTCAGCGATGAAGGTGCAGTAAGGGTGTGAAAATAGAACTAGTGGATAATCGAGCAGTGATTAGGTTATTATACATGAAATGGCCGCACACCACAAAAGACCATCATATGCCGTTGGTAAACATTGACAATCGTCAGTTCAGGTGTGGTCGGAAATCTGTGGAAATGACACCTATCCCAGGGCGACCCCAGTCTGCCATTTATGAGACACCATTCATAAAGTGGAGACTGTCGTATTACTGTTCGTCAGCTAGCCCAAGATCCCAAGATTAGTGTTGGGTCTGTGGACTAAATCACCCATGACCGTCTGCAAGTGCAATAGTTCTCTGCTCGATGGATTCCCAAGCTACTCACACCTTTCTTGAAGCAGGGACGAGTCTATTGTTCCAAGGGTCTTTCAGCCATGTGCCAAGAAACCCAGGTGGACTTTTTTGGCCATCTTATTTGCGCAGGATGAAACTTGGGTCCATCTCTATGATCTGGAAACTAAGGCCCAGTCAAGACAATGGAAGCACTTTGACTCACCCCCCCCCCAAAAAAAAAAAAAAAAAAAAGGCACGTGTGAAACCCTCTGCAGGCAAGGTCATGCTCACAGGCTTTTGGGACCAGCATAGAGTAAAGATGGATTTCCTGGCAAATGGTACTACAGTAACAGGAGCTTACTACACTTGACTGCTACAGAAACTGCGGGAAGCTATCAAAACCAAAAGGCGCAGAATGTTGACCAAAGGTGTCCGCCTCCTACAGGACAATGCCCCTGTTCAGAACTCTTACATTCCCCAGATAGAAGCGTGGTCCTGTGGCTACAACATCCTTCCTCATCCTCCTTATTTTCCCGACCTTTCACCATCTGACTTTCACCTCTTTCTGTTAATGAAGTAAAGCAAGGAGTCCACAACTGCATAAAAAAAGGGAGAAATGTGTCTCTTTTGGCAGGACTAATTGTACATTTCATTCCTCTACACTAGACCTCTCGTGGGCCGGACGGGGACCAAATATATAATTATTTAAATATATAATTTATTAAATATATGATTTATTATATATATATATGTATATATATATATATATATATATATTATATATATATATATATATATATACATACATACATATATCAAATATATAATTTATTAAATGTTTAATGAACTAAATATATAATTTAGTGCATTTTGCAGTGGAAGAAAGTTGAGCAGAATTAAGTTCAAGTTATCGTTGATGTGGTCCTCTGACACAATCAGGTTTTTCATGTGGCTCCTTGTGAAAATTAATTGCCCACCCCTGCTCTTCACCCATGAGAAGCGAGTCAGGGGAAACCTTCCATGAGCACCCCTCATAGTGAAAATACAGGTCACATAAACACCAACTTTGTCGAAAATTATTTTATTTGTACAGCAACAATATTCTAACATATAATATATCTACGACAAGGTCCTTTACACACACACACATATATATATATATAGTATGCACTCATTTTCGTCGGAAAAATAATGTATGATGCGCGGTTACATGCCCATAGACTGATCACGCATTTATGCATTCACGCCTTTAAATCTTTTTGGGTTTCTGTTCTTACTTTCACATCATATTGCTAATCTTTCATACAACCGTCCATGCAAACCCAATCGCCTGAGCTCTTTCATGTACTATAATGCACAAGTAGAGTCATGTTTTCTTTCATTCACAAGACGAACTGTGTTCATCTTTCATTTCCTCAAAATGCAAATTAACGCACTTCTTTTGAATGTCATAAGAGCATAAATTCTTTCAAACTGACATGGAACGTTTTAACGTTTAGCTCACGCATAAAAGATATGAATTCGTCAACAGATCTTTTTTTAGTGGTGATTTTTACACCCTTATAATCATACTCTGCTAGTGGTTATGACGATTACTATTGGAAAAACTTATGTATGATATTTATAGTATCTTCTAAATGTGAATAAGTTACTCAGGTCGGTTAGAAATGGGAGATAAATGCTTACAAACTTGAGCAAAGCGATTGTGTCTCATTAATTCTTTTTTCTAAAGCCATCGAGCAGTCAAAGCAAGAAAAGTCAATTCATCAGTGTAAAAATTTTGTATTTCTTTTAACACTATTAGGGTTTTAACTTTTCTTTATTGAAGTGGAAGAACATTCAGCTATCACAGTCATTCATCAGTCTGTTTTTTATTGATTTTATTTCCGTAGGTAGATTTTTGTAACAAAACAACGGACCTTAACTACTCATCTACGTTTTAACTACTTGTTTGTCATAAGAAAGGTTGATGCGTGAACAACACAGTCCTGAATACTGTATGGAATCGGTGTATGATATATTTGCGTACATGTGTGTAACTATACATATAGATTTACATACGTATATATACACACACATACTTATGATCATGATGTTTAAAAATACATCCGCTGTCTTCATACTTAAAGCGTGGTAGAAGCGCCTATGGAAGGATAGGTGAGTCTACCTTTCGTGACAGTCTTTTGAAAAGGATGTAATAGGATTCTTGCCATGGACGTCGAGGGCGAGTAAGACACAGAGTCTCCCTTCCTTCTCCTTGTCCTTCCTTCCTTTCTTTTCCCTTCTTTCTCCTTGTCCTTCCTTTCTTTTCCCTTCTTTCTCCTTACCCTTTCGTCCTCTTCTTTCCCTTCCTTTCTACCTTCCTTTCTCTCCTCTTCCTCTTTCTCTCCTCTTCTTTCCTTCCCTTCAGTCTTCTCCTTACCCCCAGAAGTCTCATCGTGGTGTCCCCTTTCTCCTTCCTCTCCCTCTTCCTCTCCCTCTTCCCTTTCCTCCCTCTTCCTTCTCTCTCTTCCCTCTCTTCCCTCTTCCTTCCTTCTCGCACCCAAAGCTCTCTCAGTTCGTGATGAGGAAGGAGCTGACGGGGAGCTGGAGAGCGCGTCGTTCATCACTCTCTGGATGAGGACGTTGAGCTGACGTGACACTTCGGGCTTGACGTCGCGAAGGACCTCTTGGCTGTTCTGGTTCAGGAAGTGGTTCACGGTCTCACCTGCGGACGGGGGAAGGGGGTTAGTGGGTGATGGTGGTGGGGGAGTGATGATGTGGGTGATGATGGTGGGGAGTGATGATGTGGGTGATGATGGTGGGGGAGTGGTGATGGTAAGTGGCCCGGTGTAGAGATATGATGATGGTGAAGGGATGGGGGTTGGGGAGGAGAGGGAGGGATGGGAAAGAGGGAGGTGGAGGGATGGGGAAGGAGGGGAGGGGGTTGGGAAAGAGAGGGATGGGGGTTGGGGAGGAAAGGGGGTGAAGGAATGGGAAGAGAGGGATGGGGGATGGTGATGGTGATGGAGATGATGATAGTGATGGTGATGATGATGGTGATAATAACGTTGTCGATGATGAATGAAAAGGATGACGAGATAATAATGATGATATCGATGCTGCTGATAATGAAGATGGATAATGATTGAAGAAAAAATGACGTAAAGCTAAAGATAATGAAAAAGAGTGGTTAGATAATGGATAGAGAGAAAGCAGAGAGATGGAGAGATAGATAGATAGAAAGAGAGAGAGAGAGAGCGAAAGAGAGTGAAAAAGAGCTAGATATAGAGAGTGAGAAAGATAGATAAACATATACAGATGCTAATAATACCGATGATGAAAAAGTAAAATACAAAGGTAATAATGATAAACAGGGAATTGTTGCAAAGATACCGATGCTGATGATGTTGACAGAGGAAGAACGGCATTGTATGGGACCCTTCCGAAAGAGAGGTCTAATGAAAGAGAAAAAACAAAAAAACAAAGCATAAAACAGGCTACTGTTGACTGGAAGATGCTAAGAGAACCGTCATTCTCAAGATTTGTTGATGGAACGAAAATATATATATATATATATATATATATATATATATATATATAATATATATAATATATATAGAGAGAGAGAGAGAGAGAGAGAGAGAGAGAGAGAGAGAGAGAGAGAGAGAGAAAGAAAGAAAGAAGATAAACACGGGGAAAATAAATAACCACGAAATATAAAAAGAAAGAGAGAAAGAAAAGACACAGAAGAAAATAAATAACCACGAAATATAAAAAGAAAGAGAGAAAGAAAGACACAGAAGAAAATAAATAACCACGAAATATAAAAAATAAAGAGAGAAATGTAAACAAAGGAAAATAGATAACCACGAATATATTAAAAAAAAGAAAGACAACTAAGAAATAAAAAATAAACATATTTAAAAGAAAAAAGAAAGATAGAGAGATAAACACAACAAAATCCCCCCCCCTCCCCTCCCCCCCAACATACCCAGCAGAGGATCGCCATTGAAGAGGTTGCTGAGGTGGAGCGAAATGTCCGGATGTCGAAGTTGATGCGAGTGTCGGATACCCGGAGCCGCTCCTGGCCGTCCGGTCCCTGCTGCACGCTGAGCTTCCCCACTCCGGAGGCGTCGATGTTGTCTGGAGTGGAGGTGGAGGGGGAGTTAGGTGTTTGTGAGGATGGGGAGGGAGGGAGGGGAGGGTGGTGGAGGGGGGGGTTGGTGGAGTGGGGGGTTGGTGGAGGGGGGTTAGGGTTTGTGAGGATGGTGAGGGAGGGAGGGAGGTGGAGGCGTCGATGTTGTCTGGAGTGGAGGCGGAGTGGGAGTTAGGTGTTTGTGAGGAGAGGAGGAGGTGGAGGGATGGAGGTGGAGGAAGGGGTTGGTGGAGGGGGGGTTGGTGGAGTGGGGTTAGGGTTGGTGAGGATGGTGGAGGGAGGGGAGGAGGGAGGTGGAGGGGAGGATGGTGGAGTGGGGGTTGGTGTTTGTGAGGATGTGGAATGGGAGTTAGGGTTTGTGAGGATGGTGGAGTGGGGGTTTGTGAGGATGTCGTGGAGGCGTCGATGTTGTCTGGAGTGGAGGCGGAGTGGGATTAGGTGTTTGTGGGGATGGTGGAGGGAGGGAGGTGGAGGGAGGTGGAGGGGAGGATGTGGAGTGGGGGGTTGGTGGAGTGGGGGTTAGGTGTTTCTGAGGAGGGAGGAGTGGGGAGGGAGGTGGAGGATGGGAGGGAGGTGGAGGGGAGGATGTGGAGGGAGGGAGGGAGGTGGAGGGGGGTTTGTGAGGATGGTGGAGTGGGGGTTTGTGAGGATGTCGTGGAGGCGTCGATGTTGTCTGGAGTGGAGGCGGAGTGGGAGTTAGGTGTTTGTGAGGATGGTGGAGGGAGGGAGGGAGGGAGGTGGAGGGGAGGATGGTGGAGGGAGGAGGTGGAGGGGAGGATGGTGGAGGGGAGGGAGGTGGAGTGGGAGTTAAGGTTTGTGAGGATGGAGGGAGGTGGAGTGGGAGTTGGTGTTTGTGAAGAGGGAGGGATGTGGAGGGGAGGATGGTGGATTGGGAGTTGGTGGCTGTGAGGATGTGGAGTGGGAGTTAGGGTTTGTGAGGATGACGTGGAGGAGGAGGGATGGAGGTGGAGGGGGAGGATGTGGGAGTTAGGGTTTGTGAGGATGGAGGAGGAGGAGGGAGGGAGGTGGAGGGAGGGAGGTGGAGTGGGGGTTGGTGTTTGTGAGGAGGGAGGGAGGTGGAGGGGAGGATGTGGAGTGGGGGTTGGTGTTTGTGAGGATGTGGAGTGGGAGTTTGGTTTTGTGAGGATGGAGGAGGAGGATGGGGAGGTGGAGGAGGAGGATGGTGGAGGGGGTTGGTGTTTGTGAGGAGGGAGGGAGGTGGAGGGGAGGATGTGGAGTGGGGTTGGTGTTTGTGAGAATGTGGAGTGGGGTTTGGTGTTTGTAAGGATGTCGTGGTGTGGGAGTTGTGAGGATGTGGAGTGGGAGTTTGTAAGGATTTGGAGTGGGGTTGGTGTTTGTGAGGATGTGGAGTGGGAGTTTGTAAGGATTTGGAGTGGGGGTTGGTGTTTGTGAGGATGTGGAGTGGGAGTTAGGGGTTTGTAAGGATGTCGTGGAAGGAAGGGTGTGGAGTGGGTTTGTGTTTGTAATGATCTCGTGGAGTGGGAGTTAGTGTTTTAATCATATCAAATAATCGATAAAAAATATTAAATTATAAAACTTGTCGTCTTGAAGATCAAAATAAGGCTTCTGAATGATTATGAAGATACGTTCAATGACAAACAATTATGGAACTTATTATAACCTAACAAATGATCCCTATACTTGATTTGACATGAATCTAAACCACTTCATGACAAAAAATGATAATTTCTCGAATATGATACAAAATAATAATAATAAATCGCATAAAAAGAATAAAATAGAATATCATATTAACAAAGACAATGAGTAACAAATAATATAATATAATACAAGAAACAAGAATATTACAATAACAATCACAATCAATAATAAAAAAGACAAAATAAAAATCACAATAAAAATAACAACACAATAATCTCAAAAAAAAAATAATAATAATAATAAAATAAAAATAACACATAATAATCTCAAAAAAATAATAAAAAATATAAAATAACAACACATAATAATCTCAAAAAATAAAATGAAAAACAACAACACATAACAATCTAAAAATAAAAAATAAAAATAAATAAAAATAAAAAAATAATAATAAAAAAACTCACAGAGGTTAGTCCAGAAGGTCCGGATCCGGTCACGGGGAAGACGATGACCTGACCCTTAAGGTCATAGAGTCCGGCCACGCGGAGTTCTGGCACCATGAGACCCACGGACAGTGTCAGTGCCTGCGGGTCGGCGCTGCGGAGAAGGGGGGGGGGTTGTTAGTGGTGCGAGGAGGGGGAGGAGGGAGGTAGGGGGAGGGGTGGAGGGGGGTGGAGGGGAGGGGGTTGGAGGGAGGGAGGTGGAGGGATTGGGGAGGGGAGGTGGAGGGATTGGGAGGGGGTGGAGAGGAGGGGGGTTGGGGTGGAGGGATTGGGAGGTGGAGGGAGGTGGAGGGATTGGGAGGGAGGGGGAGGTGGAGGGATTAGGAGGGGGGTGGAGGGAAGGAGGGAAGGGAGGTGCAGGGATGGGGGTTGGAGGAGAGGAGAGGGAGGGGGGTTGGGGTGGAGGGATTGGGAGGGAGGTGGAGAGATGGGAGGGGGTGGAGGGATGGGAGGGAATGGGAGGGAGGTGGAGGGGTGGGGAGGGAGGGAAATTTAAGGATGGGAGGAATAAGAGGAGGGGAAGTGGAAGAATGGAAGAGAGGGAGAAGAGGATGATGAGATGAAGAGGAAATAAAAAGATAGGGGTTTAGATAATGGATGGAGAGAGAGGTAGATAGATAGATAGACAGAAAGAGAAAGAGATAGATAGATAGACAGAAAGAGAAAGAGATAGATAGACAGAAAGAGAAAGAGATAGATAGATAGACAGAAAGAGAAAGAGATAGATATATAGATAGATAGACAGAGATATATACATATAGATAGACGGAGAGATATATAGATAGATAGAGAGAGAGAGAGAGATAAAGAAAGTGAGAGACAGACAGACATACAAACAAACATATTAAGAAAGAAAGAGAAAGTGTCAGAGAAACAGATAAATTACAAAACACAACCATGAACATAGAAAATAAAATAATAAAAGAGATTGACACCCAACGTGACTGCAACATCTTTAAAGTCAAACACAAACACATTAATAACTTCAACAGCTGCTTAGAAACCTTCCTGCAATTGCTATAACATCCGACGAAGGTTATTAACATCTTGAAAAAAACACGAGCTTATCAAAATTACTTTGACAAATATGCATTGTTTGCAAAGTGACTTGCATAATTCTGTAACAGTCATGGTAATAAGTGAATTATGTTTTTCATCAGTTGTAGTTCCTGGCATTGTTATCACTGTATCATCATTATTGTGATTGTTGTTATTATTATCATTATTATCATTTTTGTTTTCATCATTATTATCATTTTTATTATTATCATTACTGTCATATTTATTATAATCATTATTATCATTTTATCATTATCATTATTATTATTTTTATCATCATTATTATCGTCTTTATTATCATCAATATAATCATTTTTATTATTATCATTATTATCATCGTAATTATCATCATTGTTATTATTATTGCTATTATTATTATTGTTATTATTTAACTATTATTTTATTGTTATTATTATTACTATCATCTATATTGTTATTATTATCACTATTATTATCATTGTTAAAATCATCACTATTATTATCATCATTATTATTACTATTATCATTATTGTTATCATCACACCACACACACACCTATCAATTACTTACAAACGCCAAACTTACTTCACATAAGACGTGGTGTAGTTGGAGAGACCTTGCACTTTCACTTGCATGAACTTGGCTTGCACGTTGACAGCTCCGTCTCCCTGGCGAAAGACAATGTTGTTGATCTGCATTGGTTCCAGGACAGGGAGGCCAAGCTCGGGGATACCTGGGGAATGGGAAGGGGGGTTGAGTACAGGTGTAGGGGGGGAGGGGGTTGAGTACAGGTGTAGGGGGGAGGGGGTTGAGTACAGGTGTAGGGGGGAGGGGTTGAGTACAGGTGTAGGGGAGGTTGAGTACAGGTGTAGGGGGACGGGGGTTGAGTACAGGTGTAGGGGGTGGAGGGGTTAGAGTACAGGTGTGTGGATGCTGGATTTGTGATTTTGATTTTGTCTCTGTTTTTTTTTCTGGTTTTGGATCTTTCTTTCTCGGATTTTTTTTTCTATTTCGTTCTTTTTTTTTGTCTCTTTCTCTCTTTTTTCCTTTTTCTTTTTTTATCTCTCTCTTTCTGTCTATCTCTTTCTCTCTCTCTCTCTGTCTCAATCGAATGGAAAAAAACATTCGATTGAATCAATAGTTTTCTCTGCAGGCTATAAAATGTTAATGATAATACGCAGAAACACACACACACACACACACACACACACACACACACACACACACACACACACACACACACACACACACCACACACACATATATATATATATATATATATATATATATATATATATATATATATATATATATATATATATTTGACATGTGTACATAAAAGTATATCCAAGTGTGCATATATATATATATATATGTGTGTAAATCAGAAATGAAAGAAAAAATAGAGAAACTGCTTGCAAAATGCCTTCACATCCTCCCTTTCCCATGACACAAGACATTCCAGCAAAACACAGCATTGCATGAGATTCGAAAATGAATTCTCACAAGCACGAACCCTCGTTACAAGGGCCACGAGCCGCGCGCGTGTGCTGCGAAAATAGGAGAAAAAGGAGAGAGAGAGAGAGAGAAAAATAAAAGCAAGCATTGGGAAATTTCGTCCAAATATGACCTTCTTTTGAGGTCAGGAGCGCTTGCATTTCACCCTCGAGGTCAGAAACGCGTGTCATAACCTGTTTACACTTATACCAACACGAGCGAAAGAAATTGCGAATATTCGTTATACAAAAGTCCGAAAAGTGAACAACAACGTGACTATTCGCAATCACACAGACGTTCGATTTTGTATTTTGTTCAACGGAGTCGCTAAAAAAAAAAAAAAAAAAAAAAAAAAAAAAAAAAAAAAAAAAAAAAAAAAAAAAACGAATATAAACATCAGAAAATAACATTCGGACATAATTATCTGAAATTTTAACATTATCATCTCGCGACCAACGAAGTCCGTGACATCAGAAAGTCGAGTCTCACAAAATCATCATTATTATATAGAAATTATTATATAGAAATGATATAGAAATTATTGAGGTCTGTGGGATCTAAATACAGTAATTTAGGCATATCTAACCCCTTTCCTGAAACTAATAATGATATAGATAATTATTATATAGATATTATTATATAGATATTATTATATAGAAATTATTATATAGAAATGATGTAGAAATTATTGTGGTCTTTGAAGATCTAAAAACAGTAATTTAGGCATATCTAACCCCTTTCCTGAAAATAATAATGATATAGATAATTATTATATAGAAATTATTATATAGAAATTATGCAGAAGTGATATATAAATTATTGAGGACTAGGGAGATTTAAAAACAGTAATTTAGGCATATCCAACCCCTTTCCTGGAAATAATATTGATAAAGATAATTGCTTTATAGAAAATAATATATATTATATTATTATATAGAAAATATATAGAAGCGATAAAAATTATTGAGGACTAGGGAGATTTAAAAACAGTAATTTAGACATATCAAACCCCCTTTTCTAAAAAGATAGCAAAAAATGGCCAGATATAAATAGATGGAACTTACCTTGATGTGAAAGGCATATCTTTTTAGTGTGATTTAGGAATAAAAAGAAATTTAGCTATTAATGAAGTGTCTCTGTTTTTGAGAATGCTGATGGAAAAGGTCAAAGGTGATGATTTTAGAGACGAGGTTCACAGAAAGGCATTGAGGACACACGTAAATTTTCTGAATATTTTTTGTGTATTTTTTCTTAATATTTTTCGCGTATTTTTTAAAAATATTTTTCGTGTATTTTTTCTGAATATTTTTCTCACTTTTAGTATCATTATCATTAATGTTTTAATTGTTCATTATCATTTTCATCATAATTTTCATTATCGTTATCATTTCTTTCATCATTTTCATTATCATTATTATTTTTATCATCATCATTATAACTATTATTTTCATTATAATTATTAGCATTATCATAATCGCGATCATTATTATTATCATTCTGTCAGTTATCATAATCACTATCATTATCATCAAAACCATTACCATTATCCTAATCATTATTTAATCACCATCATCATCATTATCATCATCACTATCATCACTATCCATACTCTCGTTACCATTATTACTATTACTCTTTATTATATTTTCTCATATTTCTTTTTTGTTATAACTGGTTACCAATGTTGAATGTTATGGCTGCTTAACATTACCTTAAAACATCTAATATTCTTACTAGAATACTCTTAGTATTTTATAGAAGTCAAATTCTATCTCGATTTTCATGAGACAATCTTCAAAAATCTTCGTCACTAATATATACGTTTCCTTTATATTATCAAGTTATGATATATATGTTTTTTTCTTTTCTTTTTCTTCATTTTATCTTTTACCCCTTTTCCGTCTTTGCTGTACATGTTTTCTTCTTCTCTTCTTCCTCCTCCTTCTTTTTTTCTTCTTCTTCTTCCTCTTCTTTCTTTTTCTTCTTCTTCCTCTTCTTTCTTCTTCTTCTTCTTCCTCCTCCTTCTGTTCTTCTTCTTCTTCCTCTTCCTCTTCTTCTTCTTCTTCTTCTCCTTCTTCTTCTTCTCCTTCTTCTTCCTCTTCCTCTTCTTCTTCTTCTTCTTCTCCTTCTTCTTCTTTTCCTTCTCCTTCTTCTTCCTCTTCTTCTTATTCTTCTCCTTCTCCTTCCTCTTCCTCTTCTTCTTCTCCTTTCTCTTCCTCTTCTTCTTCATCCTCTTCTTCTCCTTCTCCTTTCTCTTCTTCTTCTTCTTCTTCTTCTTCCTGATAGTTCTGTTTGTTTTATTCTCCTTCTCGGAAGCGTCAATTGAACATGCAACATCTGTTAGCAAATATACAACATCCGGGTTCTAAAGCTTTATACTACATCTTTCTGAATCTTTCTGTTCAATCACGATCTATTTTTTTTTCATGATTCTTTTTTCTTCTTTTTCTTGAATCTTTCTGTTCAATGATCTATTTTTTTTTTTTCATGATTCTTTTTTTTTTTTTTTTTTTTCCTTTTTATTTTTTTTTTTTTTTTGTGTGTGTGGGGGAGGGGGGGAGGGGGTGTTGCAGATCATACCCTTTGAATGATTGTTCATGAATATCGAGGACTATTTCATCATGAATTGGATCTTATGTTATCTCTGAACAAGCTTCTTTTATTCAGAAACCGTTATATATATATATATATATATATATATATATATATTATATATATATATATATATATATATATATATATACATGTATTATATATATATTATATACACACATATACATATATACATATATATATATGTGTGTGTGTGTGTGTGTGTGTGTGTTGTGTGTGTGTGTGGTGTGTGTGTGTGTGTGTGTGTGTGTGTGTGTGTGTGTGTCTGTGTGTGTGTGTGTATGCATGCATGTATGTATGTATGTATGCATGCATGTATGTATGTATGTATGTATGTATGTATGTATGTATGTATGTATGTATGTATGTATGTATGTATGTATGTATGTATGTATGTATGTATGTATGTATGCATGCATGTATATATGTATGTATGTATGTATGTATGTATATATGTATGTATGTATGTATGTATGTATGTATGTATGTATGTATGTATGTATGTATGTATGTATGTATGTATGTATGTATGTATGTATGTATGCATGCATGTATACATATATATTTAAAGTGTATAGTTTTTCCTACGTAAGGTTAACGAGTTGCTTCCAAGGTCCATTAAGAGAAAAAGAAGTCAGAACCGTTAAAAGCATTAAATAAAAACGGTAGACGAATAAGAAAGATGAAGAGGAAAAAAAAATACAGTTATGAACACTGAAAAAGAGAGAACAGTTAAGAACACAATATTACAAAACAAAACACAATTGATTATCACGCAAAAGAATAAAAAAATAACAAAAATCAACACACAACACAACAAACCCTAAAACAAAATGAAATAAGTATAAGTAACACAAACAAAGCAGGACAATAGACTCCAGAACTCATCAGAAACAAAAGAGCATCAACCTACCTGTCTTGGTGCGTGGCCTTAGATCCTCCATGATCTGTTTGAGACAAGTGTTAAGAGCATTCTTGTTGTCGACGCTGCATTTCCTCAACTGCGATGCTGTGGAGGGAAAAAAAGAAGGCGTTAGTGAACTGACGACTTTGATATTTACAAAAAAAGGCTGTATTTATTTATATATACATGGATTTATAGCTATATGTCTATCTATCTGTGTATCTAGGCCCGCCATTTTTTCAGTCTCTTTATTTCTCTGTTTGTCTGTCTTATTGTATGTTTGACCGTTCGTCTGTATGTCTGTCTGTCTGTATGAGGAAAAATAACCACTCTTTCTAAACCCTTTGGTATAAGTCGAACATAAACATAAAAGAAATCCAATATTCTTATAAACAAACCAACATAAACTAGACATCAACCCTAAGATTATCGGTACTTATCATCTTTTTATCACATGGTTATCTTTTTTATATCTATTTTTTTTATGTGGATTATTTGCGTTAAATAGTAGAATGCATCTCATTTTCCAACTCCTTTTACTGTTGTTTTTTTCCTATTCTTTTTCCGGAGAAAGTTTGGTAGCTGCCAGGTCATCTTCAAAGAATACTATGGAAAAAATAATGATTTCCATGAAAGTGAGAGGATGAGGTAGTGGTGTTGGAGGAGGAAGAGGAGGAGGAGGAAAAGAAGAAGAAGGAGGAATAGGAGGAGGAGGAGAAGAAGGAGGAAAGGAGTAGTTGGAAGAGGAGGAGGAGGACGAGGAGAAGGAGAAAAAGAAGAAGAAGGAGGAGGAAGAGGAGAAGAAGAAGAAGAAGAGAAAGAGAAGAAAGAAATAGTAAAAATGAGAAACAGGAGAAGAAGAATGAAAAAAAAAATGAAAACAAGAAGAAGGCCAAAGAAGAAAAGAAAGAGAAGGGGAGGACAGATTCCGATATCCAGTCTAGTTTAAGAAAAAGAGATTGGAGGAAATGACAGGCGAAGAAAGGGAAAGATCTGTCTTCAGGAAACC